CTTACCTCTCAAAGTTTTCCTGGCTATCTGACTATGCGACAAGAGCCGTTACAAATTCATCAAAGCTAGTTGTTAACTTTCCGTTGGGAATGTTTCTTATACTCTGAGTGAAATTGACGATACTCTGTTGCATTCCTAGTGTAATAAAATGTCAATTGTCACTTTTACAATGCAAATCTGATCACACTTTTTATAAATACACAGTTTGACAGTACAATCATTACACTTTCTTAATATTCTATCTATGATATTTTTTATGACACTTATTACAAAAATTAGATGAAACAAAGAGTTTAAAATTTACAAAATTAATTAATTTAAGCCACATGTTAGAAGTCCAAGTAGCAGTCAAAGTTCTAAACATTTTAAGTGCATCATTAATAACACAGGCTTGCAAATTTAAACCTCATAAAAGTTGATTTGGTTTTAATAACAGATTTTCCATAATTTAGCAAAGCAGATTTCGAAAATAATATTCATTTTTTTTCTATCATGTAAGGATTTTTTACAAATTGAGAAGAAAAAAAAACTCTTAGATCAAATTATTATTTCGTTTACCAAAATGAACATCTTTTATTATTATGTTTGTTCACATAAATACAAACTGAAGAAAATGGAAGAACACTGATGTGAAACAAATATGCATCCTCATTCATACAGATTTTTTTTTTGTTTTGAAAGCTACATCTTTTAGTTTCAAAACTACGTGTTATGGTCTTTCTTATGTATTGCATTATGACATTTTGGGAAAAATCTGTACTTGATGGAGAAAAATGGATATCATTTTCGGATTCAGCATACAGGAATTACTGCACAACACGTAAAAATTTCAAGACAATAAAACCATCGCAGGCCTGTGTAATTTTTTAATAAGTTTCTTTTATTTTCATTTTTGGTATGGTGATGAAAAATTGATTTAAATAATAATATATTGTTTATCCAACTTTTCTTTTTGGTTGTCAATCAGTTCCTGCTATATTAGTTATAAAATCTCATGAGGTTATGTTACAGGAATATTTTCACTCAAAGAATAGAAAAACAATAACTGAGACTAACAAACTCAATTTTCATCATTTTAGCTTGATTGTCAATGTTCTCAAATACTTGTATTCAACACTCATTTTTTTTATTGTAACATGCAACACACTAGTTCAGACTAGCCTTTAAAACCAAAACCTATACCATGTTCATCTAAAAACTGTGGTTTGGAACTATAAAAATTCTCACCAGCTTAGCTTGGATAATGTTAAATAAGGTTAACAAATATATAATGCTGAATTTATAAATTATGACAAAATTCTAAAAAAAAATAGGAAACGGAAAACTCAACTCAGCATAGTACCTGCAACAGCACTATTAGGCTGTTCAGACATTCCAGGCATTGGCTGGTAATCATGAGGTCGACGGATCTTCAAACTCTGACCTTTAAAATTAATTCCATCAAATGCCATTGCTTGTGTGGTCTCATCAATAGAACGAAACTGAAAAAAATATCTCTACAGATTACTTTTAAGATTTTATTTTATACTCGGCACATATCCAAATAAATGTTTACTTCAATCTTAGCATAAATAATAAAGCAGCCTATAATAGAAGTAGAACAGTTTTAAAGCTTATTACATGTTTTGCTATTATATAATTAAGCTTGATTAATGAGAAATTTAAACTTTACATAACGTAGATACAGAAGTATTACACACACGTGCATAACTTATTTCCTATTAAGTTATTAACTGGCCAACAAAATAAGAAAACTAATGTACCAAATGTAACTTTTCCATTGTTATTTCCTTTAGCTACAATAATAGAAATTTGAAATGCTAAAACCCATAAAACATAGCATAAAGAACAAACAAATTTCCAATTTCTTTACCTAAAATACTAGTACATTTGAAATATTAAAACTTTTAAAACTGTAGCAGAGAGAACAAAACTTAGGAAAGACTAGATAGAAGTAAACACCCAAATACCTTAACTCTGTGATTCAAGAAAACTCTAAACAAAGTGGTTTTCAAAAATAAAATAGCATATTAACTCACTTCGAGGAAAGCAAAGTTTTTATCTAGATTGATCTGACATGCAAGGACAGGATTTCCTTGGGCCTGTGAGAAATGACATGCATGCATCTGGCTGTTGAAATAATCCATCATTTCTTCCTGTAGAAAAATAATATATTTCTTCATTAATATATATATAATATATAAAAGGTTTCCAAGATTTTATTACTTACTTTATTTAACCTTATTGCCCCGGGTATCCTTTACTGAGCATGACACAAGGTTTTAGTGTCTTACATTCAAATTTTAATTAAACTACTTTTTGTTTATTTTATACCAATTAGAATAGTATAAAATCTTTGCTAATAATACATATTTTAATAGTATGCAAGTTTTATGTTCTTAATTCTACAAAGAAATATTTTTTAAAAATCCTGAAATTTCACTAGTGTGACCCATGTGACACATTTTGTCTTAGCATCTCATCATCCCTATTTTTATCCATCACCCCTTGAAAATGTATGAAATTAAACATAAATTACTCTATAAAATCATTATTGCTCAGCCAAACCACAACTTTTAGTCTTCAATTTTGTTTGGTTACAGAGCTATCAAATAGAAAATCAGACCATTTCTGCCATATCTTCTCTTTCACAAATCGTTGATAGTTCTCTCTTATATTTCATTATATATTATATATAACAAATAGAAAGTCAAGGTTTTCATCTATCAAATGACGTATTGTATAACATTGTAATCTTCAGATTTGCATTGTAAAAGTGACAGTTGACATTTTATTACACTAGGAATGATCAGATTTGCATTGTAAAAGTGGCAGTTGACATTTTATTACGCTAGGAGGTATCAGATTTGCATTGTAAAAGTGACAGTTGACATTTTATTACACTAGGAATGTCAGATTTGCATTGTAAAAGTGACAGTTGACATTTTATTACACTAGGAA